CCAAACTGTTCCCACAAAATTGGGGAGCATGAAACCGTCCAAAATGTCTTGGTATGTTGACGCCTAGGAGTTCCCTTTACTGGAACTAAGGGGCCAAGCCCAAACCTGAAAAACAGCCCCACATCATCATCCCCCCTCCACCAAACTTTACACCTGGCACATAGCAGTCAGGCAAGTACCGTTGTCATGGCAACTGCCAAACCCAGACAAGTCCATCAGATTACCAGACAGAAGCGTGATTTGTCACTCCAGAGAACATGTTTCCACTGCTCTAGAGTCCAGTGGCGGCATGCTTTACACCACTGCATCCGCCACTTTGCATTGCACTTGGTGATGCAGGGCTTGGATGCAGCGGCTTGACCATGGAAACCTATTCCATGAAGCTCTTTATGCACCATTGTGCTAATCTGAAGCCCACACGAAGTTTGAATGTCTTTAGCTATTAACTCTACAGGCAGTTGGTGACATGTGCGGACTCTGCTCTGTCATTTTACATGGCCTACCACTTTGTGACCTGAGTTACTGTTGTTCCCAGTTGCTTCCACTTTGTTATAATACCAATAACAGTTGACCGTGGAATATTTAGTAGCAAGAAAATTTCACAGATGGACTTGCATAGCTGGCAACCCAGCACGGTACCACGCTTGAATTCACTGAGCTCCTAAGAGCGACCCATTCTTTCACAAAATTTTGTAGAAGCAGTCTGCATGCCTAGGTGCTTGATTTTATGGAGGTGAGTGGAACACCTGAATCCAATGATTTGGAGGGGGGTCCCAATACTTTTGGAAATGTAGTGTATATGATGGTCTGATGGATTTTAAGTAATTTTATAAGGAAAAACTTACATTTTTAATTTGTGTAAAAAAAAAATGCTTCTGAGGGGAACCGGTTAAAATTCAAAAAGTCTACAAAAAAAATAGAATACACACACACACACACACACACACACACGCAGCAGTTAAAATAAGTATTGAACACATCACAATTTTTCTCAGTAAATGTAATTCTAAAGGTGCTATTGACATAAAATATTCAACACATGTTGGTAACAACCCATGCAATCCATACATGCAAAGAAACCAAAACAAATAAGTTCAGAAATTAAGTCATGTGTAATAAAATGGAATGACACAGGGAAAAACTTCGTACAAAATCCTTTGTTTGTAATGACAGCTTCAAGATGCCGCCTGTATGGAGAAACTAGTCACATGCATTGCTCAGGTGAGATTTTGGCCCATTCCTCCACACAGTTTTCAAATCTTGAAGGTTCCGTAGGCCTCTTCTATGAACTCTTTAGCTCTTTCCCTAGATTTTCTATTGGACTCAAGCCAGGCGATTGGCTGGGCCATTCTAGCAATTTTCTTTCTTTGAAACCAATTGAGAGTTTCCTCGGCTTTGTGTTTGGGATCATTGTTTTCCTGAAATGTCCACCCTTGTTTCATCTTCAGCATCCTAGTAGATGGCAGATTTTTATCAAGAATATCTTGCTAGATTTTTCCATTCATCCTTCCTTCAATGATATGAAGTTTTCCAGTACCTCATGCTGAAAAACAGCCCCACATCATTATGTTCCCACCTCCAAACTTCACTGTTCGTATGGTGTTTTTGAAGTGATGTGCAGTGCCATTTGACCTCCAAACATGGTGTGTATTATGGCATCTAAAGAGTTCAATTTTGGTCTCACGTGACCAGACTATATTCTCCTAGTATTTCACAGGCTTGTCTAAATGTTGTGCAGCAAACTTTAAATGAGCTTCAATATGCTTTTTCTTTAGGAATGGAGTCTTGCATGGCGAGCGTATATACAGGCCATGGCTGTTGAGTGCATTCTTTGAAACAATTGTACCTGCTCATTCCAGGTCTTTCTGACGCTCTCCACAAGTGGTCCTTGGCTCCTGGACAACTTTTCTGATAATTATTTTCACTCCTTTGTCAGAAACCTTCAAAGGAGCACCTATTTGTGGCCAGTTTATGATGAAATTATGTTCTTTCCACTTTCGGATTATGGCCCCAACCATGCTCACTGCAACAAGAATGCAGAGGTCTTGAGAGAGCTCTTTGCTTTTACCCATCATGAGATGTTTCTTGTACTTTGGTAATGAGACACCTTTTTATAAGCCATCAGTTGAGACTGAACCAGCTGATATTAATTTGCACTGACAAGGAGCAGAATTGCTTCCTAGTTACTGATAGATTTCAGCTGGTGTCTTGGCTTTCCATTCCTTCTTGCACTTCCCTTTCTTCCTGTGTTCAATACTTTTTTTCCTGTGTCATTCCATTTTATTATACACAACGTGATTTCTAAACTTATTTTTTTGGTTTCTTTGTATGTATGAATTGCATGGGTTGTTACTCACACGTGGTGAACATTTCATGTCAAAAGCACCTTTATAATATATTTACCTAGAAAAATGGTGATGTGTTCAACACCTATTTTACCCGCTATATGTATATACACTTCTTGCACTTTAAGATACTGATATCTTCTGAAAAAATATATAAATCTCCTAAAAATAAAAAAAATATTGCCTTCCCAGATTAATCTCAACATTGAATGAACTTGATAACAATTACGTTTACTACCCAAGCATAAAACGGTCATGTATGTATACATAATGTGAAAAAAATTATGCTAATTTGGCCCTTGTCAATCCAACTTAATTTTATCTTCTAACAATTTAGACAAACTGTTTTTTTTTTTCCCCAGTGTGTTTCACAATGTAGCTTTGAAAGGGAAATAAAGTTCTCCTGAAGTAAAACGCACAAGTTCATTATGAGATTTATTACAGAAAAATCAAACTCATGATATTTTAGTTAGCAAACTTTCTTAATGATAATTTGGAGTACATATTTGGGGTTCAGAACATAAGTGTTACATTGGGAAAACTTCAGAAATTTTTTTTTCTGATTTTTTTACTATGTGTTTTCAATAGAAAAAATAAATGTAGCCATATTGGCAACAAATATTATAACCCCAAAAATGATGTATAATATGTTAGAGTGGACTACTAAACCTAAAAGATATATATGTGTGGAATAGAGACACGGGGACTCAAGGGGATTTAGTTAGAAAAAAAAAGTTTTTGGCCTCAAAGGGATTTAAAAAAAAAAAAAAAAAAAGTTACTGCACCTTTGAAATATCTATGTACATGAATTGAATGTCCTGTTGAGAAACTATTCAATGAAATAAAACAATGAATACTGTTAAAAAAAAAAAAAAAAAAAAGGAATAGTTTTAAATTGAAATACAAGTATTAATAAGCTTGATTTTTTATAATTAACTTTATAACAGAAAGAAATATTAGAGCACACAATATATACCGGCATTGGTTTCACATAGAGGACCAAGAAGTGTAGTGCCATGGACATGATGATTGCACCCAGAAGCCAGATGTTAAGCCAAGGTGGCATCCTCAGTAGAGACTGGTTCTCAGATAGACTGCAGATATTAAATTGAGATAAGTGAGTTGTGCATTAGCTTATTTTGCAAATTACAGTTAAATTTGACAACTTGATGTTTCTCCTTGATCTCTGAAAGTACTGGATATTTTCACACAGACTTATACACCTAATAAAAAGAGAGATCGTGGCACAGAATGCTGACTTTGGAAGTTGTGCTTTCTAAAACATTAATGCAAGAGATTACAGTACAGGAATACACAGCTGCTGGTGTAATTTTAACACTACATTTGTCCTTGCACCAAAATATTTCTTGATATCTTACAAAGAAAAATTGTAAAAAATGCAATAATTCTTTTTTCTTTTCTTCTATTCTCTTGTACACTTATTCTTGGGGGCATTTTTTGTTCACTGGGAGGTCTAGCATCTTTATTTTTCCCATGATGAAAAATACAAGGCAGATTAAAATCTATTTAGCTGGGGAATAATTTATATTGACTTCGTTTTATCAAAACTTTTATGTCAGCATCATGAAGTACTCAAGGTTCCTTGTATGGTAATATGCAATGTTATTTAAAGAACCACAAAGATATTTGCTATATCAACCAGTGTAATGTCAACTTGCTTTGTTTTTAATGATAATATACCGTTTTGGAAAATAGGTCTTCTGAAACTGAACAGAGTCTAAAAAACGTCCATCCCCTGGCTCTCTGCTAATGGTATGTTAAACTACTGTAACCTTCTTGCCTTATTTAGTAGTTTGAATACACTCTCGTATGACTTACAATTTAAACTTAGCATTTAAACAGCAAACTGTTCTTCCCCAGGTCTCCTACAATATCTTATCATACCCACATAAAAGCAGATTGTAGTTTTAACAACTTTGAACAAGTTTTATGTGGAAAAGGCTTGACCACAACTGTTTTTTTTTTTGTTTTTTGTTTAAAATCAAATAGGTCTGTAGCACCCTCCTAGTTAGCTAGGGGGAGCTAGCCAATTGTTTTTTAGTTATAGTGATAGCAGTGACCCAAATTTGACCCTTCTGACTGAGAGGCTCTGCAGATCAGCTCACTGATACCTCCCCCTGTTCTAGAGACTTGGAGACGTCTCTAGAACTCAGTGGGTAGGGGTGAGGAGGAGCTGCCCTACACTCTTGAGGGAGACTGTTTCAACTTAAAGTGACAGGTGCTGGATCCCCCTTGCCCAGGGATTTCCTCCAGATAGCTGGATGAGAAGAGGATTCATCAGGGGTGGTACACTAGGAGAGCTCTCCAAGAAGGACTTTTTGCTGTAAAAAGACTTGTACATAGTTGCCAGCAAGAAGTCCTCAGTTTACAGTTCCCTTGGGCATCCCACACACCCCTTTCCCTATCCAAGTTCAATACCCCTAATAAAACAAAAAAACAAGCTCAAGAACTGTTCACTGTCTCTGGAGTGCAAGTCTGTGGAAAATGCATGTTGCCCGGCTCTGCAGGACTATAGGAGGACCCAAAACGTCATCAACTCCTAATTGGGTAGCACTACAAGTCTAATGTTCATAAAGAAGTAATAAGATAGTTAACATTATTTTAATTAACTATACCTGTATACATGGTCATGACTTACCTGTTGAGGGCATTGCACATCTCAATGGTTACCAGCACAGACAGGGCCATGGTAGTGGGATAGCGAGACTCAAACACTTCACAGTCAATTCCTTCAAACAATGGATTCTCAGAGGTACACTTCATGAAGTGTCTCTATAAAAAAATGTAAGAAAAAGCACCATAAACATCAGAAAGTGGTCTAATAAATGAACTCCAAGGTTTAGGTGGTTGGAGGTGAGTAACTGGTCAATAACATTGGAAAAGGCATATCAGTATCTAGATGCAACTCAAACTGGTTCATTTAAGGGCATGTGATAGTGGGCTTTGGGCTTGTGTCAATAGTATTGGTTTGAGCTGCTTCTGAGATCATCTAGAATTCGCTGACAGGTGCATCTGATCTGCAATTGATCTCCTTCTGACCTGCTTCAAGTGTGTTTCACTAGTTATGTGACCAGTTCAAGTTATGTGACTGGTCTCTTCTCTGGTGACATTTTTCTGCACAAAAATTTTAAAGTGACACTAAACTATATACTTACCCTCTAAAATTAATTCATACATATACACTACTTTATCAACCTGTAAATATTTTCAATAAATAGTTTCATACTGTGTTTATCTGCCTCCTTTTTAATCTCTTCATGAGCACCCAAACCCTGCCTTTTCGCCCGCTTGCTCTCGTTTGTTTGGAATAAGCAGTGCATGTTAGTTGTGGTCATGTGAATTGCTCTATGCACACTATATATTCAAAAGCCTCTTGGCCATCTCAGGAGTAAGCAAGAGATGGTGTATACATTCCCACATACAGTGGGACCTTAGAGAATGAATGTAGTCACTACTGAAAGGAAGTCTAATCACAGGAGCAACAAAAAAAAGGAATTTGGAGGAGGCTGAAAACAGAAGGTACTTTTTTGTTAAGAATATGTACAGTACTTGAATAGAATTTTTGATTATTTATCCAGAGTTTAGTGTCGCTTTAACATGTTCCCGCGTGGCCTATAGAGGATTGACGGCTGGGCAGTCCTCTTGTCCCTCTGACTGGGCGTCATATGATGTCCTTTGTATCGCACTGCTCATTACTGACAAACTGTGTCCCTCAGACACAGAGATTCCCCACTGAAGGAAAGCCGATCATAAATATAAACACACAGCGATCATTCACTGTTCCTGTCTTCTTCTTCTCACACACCGATCCTGTGTGAGGAGGAGAACCCAGGAACAGTGAGTTTAACAGTTAACACTTTCACTACTGTGCACCACACTGCGCCTAATAAAGAGTCCCTGTCAGTGCCATCAGTGGATCTGTCAGTGGAGCCATTAGTGAATCCATCAGTGGATATGTGCAGCCCATCAGTGGATCCATTGGTGGAGCCATTAGTGAACCTGTCAGTGGAGCAGCGCATTAATAAAACCGTCAGCGCACAGCCAGCAGCGCACCTGTCAGCGCACAGCCAGCAGCGCACCTGTCAGCGCACAGCCAGCAGCGCACCTGTTAGCGCACAGCCAGCAGCGCACCTGTCAGCGCACAGCCAGCAGCGCACCTGTCAGCGCACAGCCAGCAGCGCACCTGTCAGCGCACAGCCAGCAGCGCACCTGTCAGCGCACAGCCAGCAGCGGCACCTGTCAGCGCACAGCCAGCAGCGGACCTGTCAGCGCACAGCCAGCAGCGCACCTGTCAGCGCACAGCCAGCAGCGCACCTGTCAGCGCACAGCCAGCAGCGCACCTGTCAGCGCACAGCCAGCAGCGGACCTGTCAGCGCACAGCCAGCAGCGGACCTGTCAGCGCACAGCCAGCAGCGGACCTGTCAGCGCACAGCCAGCAGTGGACCTGTTGGCATACCTGTCAGTGCAGCCCATCAGTGGACCTGTTGGCATACCTGTCAGTGCAGCCCATCAGTGCATCCATTGGTGTACCTGTCAGTGCAGCCCATCAGTGCATTCATCAGTGCAGCCCATTGGAGTATCTGTCACCACAGCCATCATTGATAACTGCCGCCCATCAGCAATGTACCCATCACAGCCACCCATCAGCAGTTTACCCGCCATACAGCTACAATCACCAGAGCTGCAATGTCCAAAAAATTGTTTACTAGTGAGGAGGTGCTCAAAATCCTCGGCATGAAGGATGAGAGCAGTGGGGAGCTCTCACCATCTGATTCCAATTTGGAATACGAGCCATTAAAAAGTAGTGGGGCAGTGACTGAATCGTAGGAGAAAGCAGTCCCTCCTAAAAGGATAAGGCTCTGAAGAGTAGGCAACCACAAGCAGTGCCATGCCCACCCCCCCCCCCAATGGTCAATCAGCAGACACCAATGGCGCTAGACCCCAGGGTGAAAGGCCCAGTTCCAGCACTGGAATATCCCAAAAAAACAGTATTTTAGAGTTTTTGCCATTAAACATGTCCAGTAAAAAAAATTTTTTAAATCTAATTGTCATAAATTTAGGCCAAAATGTATTCTGCGACATGTCTTTGCTTAAAAAAAAAATCCCAATACGTGTAAATTAATTGGTTTACATGAAAGTATATAGTTTACAAATGGCGGTATAGAAAATGGGATTTGTTTTTTCTACTAGTAATGGCGGTGATCAGCAACTTTTAACTAACTGTGGCGTACATTCTGACACTGGGGGAGAACTAACTTGACATCTCCAGTGACACCAATACAATGATCAGTGCTAAAAAAAAAAAAGCACTGACACTGTGCTAATGGCACTGGGCAGGAATGTGAGGGCCAATCAAAGGGTTAACTGTGTGCTGTGTGTGTGTTTTACTAGGGGGCGATGGGTGTGTTCTTCACTGTAAGCACACTGATCGGGATGGCTGTACTGTGCATAGCCATGCCGAGCAGTGTGCTCGAGCTGACAGGAAGGAAGATTGTAAACAAAACAATCTTACTCCCTGTCGGAGATGCTCAGTAATCACCAGGCGCCGGTGGGTAATCACCAGCCAGGACCCGGTGATTATAATTCGCGGCTGCGAATTGCGGCGTGGGTAGGGTGCGCACCCCCTACTCGGAAATGCACAGGTGCTGCCCTGTAGCAGTATATCTGCTATAAGGCAGTCCTTAAGCAGTTAATGAATCCCTTGTCCACTTCACTGGCTGGCTGGGATTCAAGCAATACATTCCCAGTAAAAGGGCCAGGTATGAATGGAAGCTGAACAAGCTCTGTGAAAGAGCTACAGGATATGTGCATGCCTTCCGCATGTACGAAGGCAGACTCCCAGCTTCAGCCCCCTGCATGCCCAACCTACATCGGCACAAGTGGTAAAATTGTCTGGGACCTGGCATTCCCACTGTTCCAAAAAGATTATCATATCTACCTTGATAACTACTATACCAGATGCCCCTTTTCCGGCACCTGTACTGTGAGAAAACCTTAGCCTGCGGTACCACCCAAAAAAAAAACAAAGGGCTTCCCACAAAGTTTAGTAACCACAAGGCTACTAAGGGGCTGAAGTAAGTCTGAGAAATGAGGAAGTGTTGGCCATGAAGTGGAGGGATAAGAGAGTTATTACGTCCTGTCCACCATCCACAATGACACCTCGGTGGAAATTCACGGAAGACGCAATCCCATCCAAAAACCTGAATGTATCCACGATTAAAATTAAATTGGTTCAAGGGGAAGGGGGGATTAGATGGTACAGCCCTATTTGTCAACAAGAAAGTCCCTCTTCTGGCATAAAAAAGTTGCAAATTATTGTTTCCATTTGTCCATTTACAATGAGTTTGTCATCTATCAAAAGTCAACAGAAATACTCACCACCTTCCTCAAATATATAGAAACAATTATCACTGCCCTGATCTACCTGCAAGGATGCCCTCCAGAAAACATTTGCTCTGATTGTGTGAGCAGGCTTCATGAGCAACATTTTCCAGAAAACATTCCACCAACAGAATCAGGAAGAAGACGCCACAAAAAAAATGTTGGGTATGCAGCAGAAGAGGAGTTAGGAGAGTCACCAGTGTTCATTGTCCCCAATGTCCCTCCCAACCGGGCCTATGCATCGGAGACTGATTCTGAAGTTATCACACATCGCTAAAATATTAGTTCCCCTTATTTTTAACAGCCTGCCATTTCCCAGTTTCTAATATCTGTGCTGATCATTTGCCTGCTGCCTTGATTTACCATGCCTCTACCTTCCACCTTAACTGACCCTGGCCTGTTTACCAACGATGCTTTTGCCTGCCGTTTGGTTTATTTCCAAACCACGTTTCTACTTTCCACCTGCACTGACCTCATCCTGTTAATCGACTATGTTTTTTGTAAGCAGCTTGAACTGATCTTTTGCCCTGCTACTATAGTAGTGGGATGCAAGATAACACAGGGGTCTCACATATATGAGGGGATTCAGGGTAGAGAAAAACTATTTTTGGTTTTCACCAGGTTTTGTAATTCCCGAATCAGGTTCTGTTAGTTCGGAGGTTTTGAAGGGATTGGGTGGGACGAAGCCTCTACTCCTGTGGCCAGATCTTACCTGACAGAGGCCCTAAGCCTGATGTTCCATCCTGCTGCCTGGACCAACACTGTGCTGACCATATCTCTGCCTGCTGCCTGTAATGACCCAGGACTTCCTGCCTGCTGTCTGGACTATTTGTTTGGTTATTGCTGCCTGCTTCCTGAGTTACTGCTCTCCTCTGCACATAACTGCTCTACTGTAACCACAGGTAATCTTCTGTTTACCCTTTGTTTAGCTAGGCTGTGAAAAAGTCTCATGGATGTGGTATTGCCATACTCAGGAGCAGCAGAATGTATTTTGGGTGTAATTCTTGCTATGTCCATGCTGTGTTTTTAGAAATATCTTATAAATTGACAGCTTTGTGTAAAAAAATGTTTTCACTTTCTTTCCACATTTCAAAAAACAGTGGAAAAAACATTACACGTTCAAAAGACTCATTATGCCTCACAGAATATATGCTGGGGTGCTTGCTTTCCAAAATGGGGTCATTTTGTTGGCGTTTCCACTACCCTGATGCTCCAGGGCCTTCACAAATGTGATAGTTATGAAATTAGACAATTTATGCCCCCTTGGTTACTGAGCCTCTGTATGTGGCCGGGCTGTGTAAAAGTCTCACATGTGGTATCACCAAACTCAGGACAAGTAGCAGAATGTATTTTGAGGTGTAATTCTTGGTATGTACATGCTATGTGTTAGAAATATCTTATAAATTGACAAATTTGTGGGAAAAAAAAAAAAAAAAAGTGTGTGTTCATGTTCTTTCCACATTTTCCAAAAACTTGTGGAAAAGAATCACAAGTTCAAAAGACTCACTATGCCTCATATAATATACGTTGGGGTGTTTGCTTTCCAAAATTGGGTCATTTTGTGGGTAATCCCATTGTCCTAATGCTTCAGGGCAAAAAATATGATAGGTAGTCAGGAAATTAAAAGTGTAATGTATGCCTCTAGAACGCCTGATGGTGCAACTTGGATCTTGGGCCTCTATATGTGGCCAGGCTGTGAAAAAGTGTCATATATGTGGTATCGCCATAATCAGGAGGAGTAGCAGAATATGTTGGCATGTAATTGGAAGTATGCATATGCCATATGTGAGAAATAACTTAATATGCCAATTTTGTGTTAAAAAAAAATCATTTAATTTTCCCAAGAATTGTGGGAAAAAATGACAACTTCAAAAAACTCACCATGCCTCTTACTAAACAGCTTGGACTTGGACTATGTACTTTCCAAAAAGGGGTCATTTGGGGTGTATTTGTACTTTCCTGGCATTTTAGGACCTCAAGAAATGAGATAGGCCGTCAGTACATCTGGTGTGATCAATTTTCAATGATTGGTACCATAGCTTGTAGACTTTGAGTTATTTTTACCAAAGAAATGTAACAGTATAAATTTTGGCCAAAATTTATGAAGAAAATGTACTTATTTGCAAAATGTTTTAATAGAGACTAAAAAAAAGTGTTTTTTTTTTATTTAGCAAAAAATAAAAAATACAGTGGTGATTAAGTACCACCAAAATAAAGCTATATTTCTGTGGGAAAAATGATAAAAGTTTTGTTGGGGCACAGTGTAGCATGACTTTGTAATTGCCATTCAAAGTGCGTGATCACTAAAAGCTGAAAATTGGTCTGGGCAGGAAGGGGGTAAAAGTGACCTGTATTGAAGTAGTTTAGTGGAAAGAAGTTTGACACACAGCAGGCTCCACACTGCAGCCTGCATTAATAAAGTATAACAAAGTAATAAAATTGAAGCAGCAATGTGGAGTGGCTTTGACGTGTATGCCGGAGGGCAAATAGCTGCATCAATTCTCCTCTAAAAATACCCCCTTCAATTGCTATAAAACCGTATCAAACAGCTAAGCTTTGTTTCTGCTTTCTTTCAATTAAAGTGTTACTAAACAGTAAAATCAGTCTGTATATGCAGTAAAGCATACTTGTTCTACTCACTGTGGAATTACACACTGTATTGTGTTAAAATGCGGTTTGATCCTGACTTCTCTGGTCCCCCCCCTTTTTCCATGCCCCCCTCTTATCTCCTGACAAGACATACCGTGTGGAGTCACTCTGCACATGCTCAGTTTGGTGTGTATTGCTAGAGAGGTTTTTTTTTTTTTGGGGGGAGAGTGCATGTGATTCGCACAGGGCCAATCAGCGATGTCCAGACAGAGGTCAGGGGTCCTGCATCCTCCTAGAGCAAAATGAAACCGCCTCCTACAAGCTTTAACCAGTGCTCAGCTGGACACTCATAGAAGTCACAAGAAAGCTGATGAGAAAAGGTATTTAGCTTTTAGATATTATTTTAGTGAAAGCTACATATGTTAAAATATTGGAAACAACCTCTAAAACAAGTTTACCCGGTTAAGGATTATATGAGATTTTTTTGATAGGGTTTATATATAAATTAAAACATGGAATTAACTGGCAAGTCAAAATTCTTCTATCTTGGAATTCATTACAGGCACAGGCAACTTATTAATGGGCTCGTACCATCAGGTGATTAGACACTATCAAGCTTTTGAAGACATGCCCCCCCTAGGGCACCTCCCATGTAATTCTACCCCACTATGTGAGTCTTCAGTGTTGTAGTAAGCAATGTAGAGTAACAAGGAGAGTTTAGAGAGAGTGGCCTGTTTCCTGTACAGTACTTCAAGCTATGGAATTTACAAGTATGTTAAGATTCCTCTGATCTTAATCATACAGTAACAGGACACAGGCAATTCAATCATACACCATGGGATGCTCCCAAACAATGAATACAAGTGTGCGCAACAAACTAGGCAAGTGGAACTGTGCAAAGAGGCCCACGAAACAACAGTAGACAAACACCAAGTTCACAGTGCTGCTGCAAGATCCTTGCAAGTGAAAGCTGCATCCGCAGAAGATTGGATTTCCACCTGTTAAAATTTTGAAAAAGCATGAACTGAAGACCAAGTGGCAGCTATATAGACTTGGTGCCCAAAGGCCCAGGATACTCCAACAAATCTGGTGAAGTGGGTGTGTCACATCACAGAAGGAGCTATTCTTTTTGAGCAAAGGCTCTTGCAATCACATTCCTTATTCACTGTGTGGTGCTGCAGCTTTTAGGTACACTCTAATGCAGGGGTGTCAAACTGGCGGCACTCCAGGTGTTGTGAAACTACAAGTTCCATCATGCCTTTGCCTTTGGGAGTCATGCTTGTAACTGTCAATCTTGCAATGCCTCATGGGACTTTTAGTTTGGCAACAGCTGGAGAGCCGCAAGTTTGACACCCATGCTCTAATGGTGCTGACATTGTCCAGACAATGCAGAGAAACTTGCTTTGTATGCTTAGGAGCAAGGATGGCAGAACAATGTCCTCACTGATGGAATGCTGAAACCACCTTTGGAAGAAAGGATGGTTTGGAGCATAATACAACATTGCCGTTGAGCAGTATAAGGAAGGGCCACCAATTCGGGGACACATTTTACAGATGGTATAGTAATCAAAAAGGGTACTTTGTTGACAAGAATTTTTAATGGAGTATCCCTGATTGGTTCAAAGAGTGGCATCTACAAGGCAGAGAGCATAAAATTAAGAAGCCAGGAAAGCACAGAGTACTGCAAAGGGGGCATACTCTCCCCGGGGGTATGATTTTCCCTGCCAGATAAATCTAAAAACATTTTCTAGATTGGTAGAATAAAAACATTTTTTGTTCTTGAGTTCAGTTATTTAATTACTATTTCTATGCAAAATCAATTTGACTTACCAGCTGGTAAAATGTCACCTGTGGTCCATCTTCATCATACAGGAACCACCATGTGGCAGCTCCCACAGTGGCCAGACCTACATAAACTGGTACAAAAAGCAAAAATAGAAGACATTCAGAAATATAACAGTATTTTCAGAAATGAGAAAATACACTTTCTACAATAATTAGAACACATTTTAAAATCCAAGCTTCCATGCTACTATGACCAACTACTGTAAATAAGAAACCAGAATAAAGTTGGACACACAACTTTACTTTGTATAAAATACACTATTTCTTCAGAAGACTAAATCAGTCCATAGACTATACGATTTTCTTTCTTTCCACTATGGGTGGAAGGAAAGAAAATTGCTTGATTTCCCCATCAACACAGTCAGCACTGATGTGGGAATCCGTTCAGCAGTGCTATTGTGTTCTGCCAGCGGGGAGTCTTCCCAGCCAGCAAAATACAATAATTACTGCTAGTGGCTATAGACGCAGTAACCACATGTAAAAAAAAATCAGGTTGTACTCAAGTCAATCGACATTTGCTGACAGCTCAAAATTGTCATCGCCACACATTTGCTTTAAGATAAAAGATTATGTTTTAAAGATCATCATTAGAACTGAAAAAATATAAAGATCTTCTACAACAAAAGATTAGATTTGACATAAGGTACAGTATTTGTTAGATAATATAGCAAGGTTAACAATTAACCATACATTTTTAAGTCTCTCCTTCCATATGTCAGTATCACATAGATGGAGTAGATGGAAGGAACATTACCTCCAATTGCAAGATATCTAAAGAAAAGCCACCCGCTGATTAGTGGTTCCCTAGGATTGCGGGGTTGCTTATCCATGATGTCCAGGTCAGGGGGGTTAAATCCTAGTGCAGTGGCAGGTAATCCATCTGTTACAAGATTAACCCAGAGCAATTGGACAGGGATTAAGGCTTCTGGCAGGCCAAGGATAGCAGTAAGAAAGATACTAGAGTGAAAAGAATAAAACATAAAGGCAATTAAAACACAAATGGTATTTACTCTTAATAAAAACTTACCACCTTTATTTTAATTTATTTTGTTTCAGCTGGGAAAAAAAAATGTACTTGTGTGATATACAAAGGCAGTGACTGGTGTGATTAAAACTCATAATACAATGCTACTACAGGCAGTCCCGAAGTAATTAACATTCGATTTACAAACGACTCAAATTTACAAACATAGGGAGAAACAAGAAGTGAGAAGAAATCTACCCCTAGGAAGGAAAATTCACTCCTATAGGAGTTATCATTGGAAAAACGGTGTCTCCATTGAAGCTTTATCCTTGTTTCCAGGACAACCCAAAAATGTTAAATCCAATTGTTACATGGACAGAAAGTGAAGTGAAATCTTCTGAACAGGGGCACAGACAGCAAAACAAACATTACAGGGGTGTTAACCCTCCCCTATGCTATCCAAAGGTATGTGACCCGGGGACAGCCTGTACCAATATTTCTCCACATGGCTTATCTGCTGAACCACCCAGACCTCCCGGAAACCCCTTCCTCCCTCCCTCCCCCCCCTTCCTGACTATCCTCAACTCCTCAACCCCCCCCCCCCCCCCCCCCCAAACTATCTCTTGAATGTCATGGACCTAGTAATCTAAGACAAGGGTCAGTGCTCCTGTTGAGGAAAGTTTCCCTGTTACAGGCCTTTCATACATATACACATACACTCACCGGCCACTTTATTAGGTACACCTTGCTAGTGTCGGGTTGGACCCCCTTTTACCTTCAGAACTGCCTTAATTCTCTGTGGCATAGATTCAACAAGGTGTTGGAAACATTCCTTAGAGATTTTGGTCCATATTGACATGAGATGCTGTTGTCTTTCTATCATCTCAAACCAATTTGCCCTTTCTCCTCTGACGTCAACAAAGCATTTTTGTCCACATAACTGCCACTCACTGCATATATTTTTCTCTTTTTCGGACCATTCTCTGTAAACCCTAGAGATGATTGTGAGTGACAATCCCAGCAGATCTGCAGTTTTTGAAGTGCTCAGACCAGCCTGTCTGGCACCAACAACCATGCCAAATTCAAAGTCACTTAAATCCCCTTTCTTCCCCACTCTGATGCTCGGTTCGAACTTCAACAAGTTGTCCTCACCTTGTCTAGATGCCTAAATGAATTAAGTTGCTGCCCTGTGATTGGCTGATTAGAAATTTGTGTTACCAAGCAATTGAACAAATATACCCAATGAAGTGGCTGGTGATATATCTATCTATCTATCTATATACAGTCATGGCCGAAATTGTTGGCACCCTTGATATTTTTCCTGAAAATCAAGTATTTCACACAAAAAAGGTATTGCATTAACACATGTTTTGCTATACACATGTTTATTCCCTTTGTATGTATTGGAACAAATATAAAACAGAGGCAGAAAAGCAAATATGACATAATGTCACACAAAACCCCAAAAATGGGCTGGACAAAAGTATTGGCACCCTTAACTTAATATTTGGTTGCACACCCTTTGGAAAACATAACTGAAATCAGTCGCTTCCTATAACCATCAATAAGCTTCTGACACCTCTCACCCGGAATTTTGGACCACTCTTCCTTTGCAAACAGCTCCAGGTCTCTCTTTATTGGAAGGACACCTTTTCCCAACAGCAATTTTAAGATCTCTCCACAGGTGTTCAATGGGATTTAGATCTGGGCTCATTGCTGGCCACTTCAGAACTCTCCAGCGCTTCTTTGCCATCCATTTCTGAGTGCTTTTTGACGTATGTTTGGGGTCATTGTCCTGCTGGAAGACCCAGGATCTTGGACGCAAACCCAGCTTTCTGACACTGGGCCCTACAGTGCGACCCAAAATCCTTTGGTAATCCTCAGATTTCATGATGCCTTGCACACAGTCAAGGCACCCAGTGCCAGAGGCAGCAAAACAACCCCAAAACATCATTGAACCTCCACCATATTTTACCGTAGGTACTGTGTTTTGTTCTTTGTAGGCCTCATTCCGTTTTCGGTAAACAGTAGAATGATGTGCTTTACCGAAAAGCTCTATCTTGGTCTCATCTGTCCACAAGACGTTTTCCCAGAAGGCTTTTGGCTTACTCAAGTACATTTTGGCAAACTGTAGTCTTGCTTTTTTTTATGTCTCTGTGTCAGCAGTGGGGTCCTCCTGGGTCTCCTGCCATAGCGTTTCATTTCATTTAAATGTCGACGGATAGTTCGCGCTGACACTGATGCTCCCTGAGCCTGCAGGACAGCTTGAATGTCTTTGGAACATGTTTGGGGCTGCTTATCCACCATCCGGACTATTCTGCGTTGCAATCTTTCATCAATTTTCCTCATCCGTCCACGACCAGGGAGATTAGCTACAGTGCCATGGGTTGCAAACTTCTTGATAATGTTGCGCACTGTGGACAAAGGCAAATCTAGTTCTCTGGAGATGGACTTGTAACCTTGAGATTGTTGATATTTTGCCACAATTTTGGTTCTCAGGTCCTCAGACAGTTCTCGTCTCCTCTTTCTGTTGTCCATGCTTAGTGTGGCACAGACAGACACACAATGCAAAGGTTAAGTGAACGTCTCTCCTTTTTATCTGCTTTCAGGTGTGATTTCTATATTGCCCACACCTGTTACTTGCCCCAGGTGAGTTTACAGGAGCATCACATGCTTGTAACATTCTTATTTATCCGCAGTTGTGAAAGGGTGCCAATACTTTTGTCCAGCCCATTTTTGGAGGTTTGTGTGACATTATGTCGAATTTGCTTTCTTTCCTCCCTTTTTTTGTTTTGTCCCAATACACACAAAGGGAATAAACATGTGTATAGCAAAACATGTGTTAATGCAATACGTTTCGTGAGAAATACATGATTTCCTGGAGAAATATCAAGGGTGCCAACAATTTCGGCCATGACTGTATATATATATATATATATATATATATATAAAATTGTACCCCTTTAAAGCTTGTCCCATCAATCTGTTGTTTTATGATGCATTGTAAGTCGAGAAAAAGAATAAAATGTTTTTTGAACAGAAAGTAACTATAACACAGTTTTTACCATGTTATGCTAACAGTAATCATACAAATGTGTCATGTTTATTGTTTTAAAAATCTAATTTTTCAGCTGCTTAGATTTTATCTGTCAAACAAACAATTGTATTGACCTCTGTTGTGTGGATAATGATAAACAACAAAATATAAGCAAAGTATAATTTTTTACTGTGTGGCTGAAGAAAGCAAATGTGTACATTGACTTAAATTTGAAACATGAGTCATTCCTAACTTATTTCTAAAATGTGCCTGCCCATCTTTGCAGGAGATTGGAGGCTGAAAGCAGGCATATCTTGGGGGACATGTTCTTTGCCATGATATTGATATTTTATGTTTGAAGATACCTTTATAACCTACTGGGACAATAAATGGGTTTCCAGCAAAACCAAAAGGTAATCGGATTATTAACAGAAAAAAAAAGTGAAATCGTTATATCTATATGGTTGCATAAATTGTCTTAATAAAATTAAGTGTGTAAAAAAAATAAGTATTCTTTAGGTTAAAAAAAAATGAATAATGAATTATCAGAAGTACCAAAAATCCTACAGAACACTACATTTATGAGTTGGGCATTCATCATGGTAGTGAGGATATCTTACCAGACTACTTCACCAACATTGGAGGAGATCAGGTAGCGAATAAACTGTTTCATGTTATTATAAATGGCTCGGCCTTCCTCCACAGCAGACACAATAGTGGAGAAATTGTCATCAGACAGAACCATCTCTGCAGCCGATTTTGCTACAGCAGTACCAGAACCCATAGCAATGCCAATCTCAGCCTTCTTCAAGGCTGGGGCATCATTTACCCCATCACCAGTCTAAGAGGAAAAAAAGAAATGTAAGTTTTATATACCCAGACACTTAAAATTTCAATGCAAAGTAAAATATACAGTGAATGGCAGAAACTTTACCATTGCAGTAATTTCATAAAAAGACTGAAGATACTCCACAATCTTTGATTTGTGTGCTGGTTCAACACGGGCAAAGCATCGAGCTGTACGACAAGCATCCCTTTTGTTTTTCCAGTGGGAGGTCATCAAACTCTCTTCCAGTATATGCCTTGTCTGTTATGTCCTCGGAGTCTGAGAAAATGCCAATCTTTCGGCATATAGCCACAGCTGTGCCCTTGTTGTCACCAGTTATCATCATGACTTTGATGCCAGCTTTTCTACACATCTGAATTGAAGTAGACACCTCTTTGCGGGGAGGATCCAACATTCCAACACATCCAACAAATATCAAATTTGTCTAGAAAAAAAAAAAAAATCTTGTTTTACTTAAATTTATTTAACATATACTTACACATGTATAGAGAAAACAAAACCTATTTTGGAAAGATAGGGTTACCTCATAGTTGACGAATTTGTTAGAGTCATCCAGCTGCATGTCTTCTAATTTTGGTGGAATATCCCTTGTAGCAAGTGCAAGGCATCTCAGAGTGTCTATGCCAGTTCCCCAGTCGCGGATCTTGGACATGATCCTCTCTCTTGCTGATGGAGTTAGTGGTAACTTCGTGGAACCCACACGCACATAATTGCAACGCTCAATTAGAGTCTCTGGAGCACCCTACAATTAAATAAGATTGTAGCTTTTAAACAATGCACTTATAATGAAGATTATTTCCAGATCACTGGGCAAAAGAAGGTAACCAAGATGAAAAATTCTAATAGTGCTCTGTAACAGTATCACAGTATCGTACTATGTTAGCCATTGACAAAATTAGAGATTTGGATTTAGCGTGACATACCAGTACAGGCATGTAAAGATGTGAAAACTGCAAACACATAACTACTGACAGTGTAACAATATCAGGTTTGCAAGGCCAATACAGAATACAAGACACATTCTCCTGCAAATTTTCTAATTCAGTATACCGGATCATGGGGGCAAAATACCCAACATGTCACGTTTTTTAGTGAAACTGGACAAACACAATGCCAGTAAATCAAACATATT